GGCGCGCGCAGGGCAGCGCTGCGTCCCCCAGGCCTCCCTGTGTCCCAGCAGGCCGCCCGCCGCAGCCGTGCCACGGAGCAGCCACTGCTTTGTCCCGTCCCCAGCGTTGCTGGTTCCACTGTGAGAACAAACCGAGCGGATCCCCTCGGTCATTCCTGACTCCAGGCCAGGGCTCTTTGCTTCCAGCTGTTGCCACCCGCTTGGCACGGACATGTTATTGGAAAGAGCCTGATGTTTCAGTGTTTGTTATCAGGATACTGTGACACGAACATAATGCCATGATCTAATGCCACCGTTAGGCTGTTTTGTGAGGACCTTAGTCGGGAAGAATACAGGCACAACCCGCCAGGTCATTTCTTATTGCACTGTCATTTGCTCCATACATGAGGAATGGAATGGATGCCGAGAGGGAGATGCTCTGCACAACCATGCTGTGTGCGTGCTCGAGGCTGAATGCAAGCTCTGCATTTCACGGGAGAGGCTTTCCGCAACGCTCAAACTCTCCAGAAATCTAATAACGCAAGGGTTTTCAGTTCCTTCCTCATTAGCCTCTCTAGAAAGCCAGAACATAATAAAACCCAGCAGAACAAGATGTCCCTAAAGGCATCCTGACATGCTTTGCTCAGAGCTCTCAGCGGGAGTTTAAGCACCTTATGTAATGGGCTTTCTCGCCCAGCATCTGCGTCTTTCGTGGAGGATGGCTGGTAGGTGCTGATCTCGGAGGAGGCACGTGGGGCCCTGGCACCTGCCCGGCTCCGCGGGAGCAGCGCGAGGCGAGGGGCAGGTCGCACCGCTTTTCCTGAGCGCTAGCAGGAGCATTAGCCCTGTAGGCTTATCTGCAGGAAGGAGTCTCTACCAAAAATAAACCATCCAGTGCGATAGATAGCAGCATTTTTGCCTTGTTTCAAGGATTTAAGTTGGATACCAGACAAGATTAAAGCCCTTCTTACACTGCATGAACTCTTCTCCCTGACTAATTCAGAGTAACCTTTGGCTGGCTTCTCGGCTGCTCTGCGGTTTGCTTTCTCACTGGTGAACGGGTATGTGGAGTGCAAATGCCTGATAAGCAGGTGGGTTTTATAGAAAAGTCCTTTTGCCTGCCCTGAGAAGGGATGATTTCCTGCTTTGGGCTTTTTTAGCATCGTTTGAGCTGAGTAAGACACGAGGTTCTGTGGCAGCTGCTGCAGTTATTGCAGGCCTCTGCTTCCTGCTCCCCTTCAACCCGGCCGCGCGGTCACTGCGGCCCCGCGCGCGCAGGGAGCTCGGCGCAGCCGCCGGCGCCAGCTCCTACCTGGCGGCTCTCGGCTTCGTCGCAGCAGCCGGGGCTGACGCAGGACACGGTATCGAGACGGTCTCGCAGGGCTCAGGTTGACCCGTTTTATGCTAAGCCACCACATATGTGCAGCACGAGGGGCTGTGTAAAGAAAGCCTCTTACTGCCCTCCCTCCCCGCTTTGGAGGCTTATTTCTTCTGTCGCGTGTCATGGGGGCTGGCAGCAGGTCCAGAAAGTCTGAGCTCTTCCCGCTCAAGGTCACTGGGATTGTTTAAATATAATCTGCTTTTCTGTACTTATACTTTCCTACAACTTGCGATTCTGTCTTTCTAAAATTAAACCAGTGGGTGAAAGGGTGGCCGGGCCGGCGCGGCCCCGCGCTCCTCCAGGGCTCCAGCAAGGCCCGGTGCGGAGGGGTTCACAACGTGGCCGCAGGGCCTCGGCGATGCTGCCTCTTTTCCTGGGGCAAGTGCTTTGTTGCTCGTGTTGGTTTTCCTGCTCTTTATCCAAGTGGAAGTCACTTGAGAACCAGCTTTCTTGGGGGGATTTGGTTATTCCTACATCTCGGAGTGCAGATGTGCAGGAAGATGGACAATAGTGGGGTGGGGGAACCTGTACCATTATTACCATTAATTAATCAATTATAAAAGGAAAAGCAAAGGTACCGCACCTGTGAGCGGAGCTGCTGTGTGCTCCCGAGCCGGCTGCGTTGTGTCTCATCCTGACTCATGACCGAAGACACGGGTGCGTTTCTTAGACTTTGCTCCTGGCCTTTCCTGCTTTCTCGTTTCCTTTGCTCCGTGACAGCAGTCCCCTAGAACGGGAGGTTTGTGGTTACTCGGGGTTGCCTCGTGCAGAGCTCCAGAGGTCGGCTCTGTTTGCAGCGCTGTCATAGCTGAAATTAAAAGCCCTGAGTCAGGTCCCAGAGGCACAGCTTTGCATTAACCAAGTTGTGCTTTTAAAGGACACGCAGCAGCACTCGTGCAAAGCTGATTTACAGCCTGTAGGGCTTGAAGGGAGCTCTAGGTATCTGTGGGATTTCAAGCTTTTTACTGTCAGTGAGACATGCTTTTGCGTTTCCCCTTTAAATAAAAGCCTGGAAACCTCTGTTACTTCACATGATCACGGGAGTCGGAACTGTAGGAAAGAGGCCAAATGTTGTGAAATTTGTGATCTCATTGTAAGAGCAGGCAGCAGGGAGGTTTGTTTAGGCAGAACTTTAAGGGAAATTCCTGGGTATCTGGGCTATGTATCCTGGGTTTGTTTATCAGCACAATCGCTGTGGATTGCACTGGAAACACATGAACTGGGGAGGAGGGAGGCAGCACAGCTCCGCTCTGTGTCTGGAAATACCAGGTCACTGCTCGCTGTTTAATCTCCTGCGTCCTTTGTGCCTGCGTGGTTTAAACCCGCTGGTCTGGGGCTTCGGCGCGTGAAGCAACACACGAGTCCTGCACAAATGTCTCCAACAAGATACGAGTAAGGCAGGTTCTCTAGTGGAGGAAAACTGCTTGAGGAGGAACCTCTTTGTCAAAACATTATTTTTTTTTTTAATGAAAGAAGCCATTTTCCTCACTGTTACTTTTTCTCTACTGAAAAGCTAAATCTTTATTTACTTTCCCCTTTTCTTACCACTCTGTTTTGTGATTGTTATTTTTAATGGAGTAGTCAGGCCCGCACTGGCAGCTTCTCTGCGAACGCTGCACGTGGAGCTTTCCGCCCCGCGGGCTCTCGTGGCGCGGGCCGGC